GTCCCCAAAGTTTCAGACCTGTAGCTTTTGCCGGTCTCGAGATGAAAAATCCGTACAGACGAACGCACAGGCACACAGACGCACAGACACACACACACAGACAACCTCTCGTCAATATGCGTTTTCTACATCGCATAGCTGCAAAAAACGCATAAAAACGGTATAGAGGCCCAGCGCACACGCAGACACACACATATTGACACACACACACAAACACACATACACAGACACACACACAGACAACCTCTCGTCAATATGCGTTTTTCGCATTGCATTGCTTCAAAAACCGCATAAAAAACTGGCATTACATTCCAGAACAGAGCAAAAATCTGGAGCTCCGGTGAGTGTTATGCAATATAAGAATATCGAGATTACCCAGGGCATCATATGTTAGTGATATTACTGGGATGTTATTACAAGCCAGAGGGCAGCTATGCTTTGCCTTTCGATTTTGGACTGCATATATGCTGTTAATACTCACCACCTACCCGATGTATATGTGCCATCTGTTAAACGATTCCTAGAGCAATCGTTCACCTTCTCGCAGATACCACTTACTAAGGGGCGACATTCACCTAGCAAGGCGTAGTACGCAGAAAACTGTAACGAGTTAAATCTGAGTTCTGCATACTTCATCATACTCACCTACCACAAGCTAACAACAGCTCACAAAAAAAAAAAAACACATACATTCACGCTGCCTCCCATTAGACCCCGCTATTACTGAATCCTAGCAACCTAAAGTAAGGACTTGTGGAAAAAAAACAATTCGTAAAAAACAATGATAAAAGAAGTGATGCCGTCAAATCTTACAGCAAAGTCTGTTCGTGAAATTCGACGACGAGTGGTCGCAACGATGTCGGCAATCCGTGCTGGCTCGGTCAACAAGCTTGACCCATATCCCTCTTTCATAACATCGCGCTGCGGACAACCACAGTTCAAGTCTACGCCTTCACAATTCCTGCAATAGTTCCAGCTGCAAACTCTGCGTTCATTTTAACCATAAAGTAATGAGCTTTAAACGAAAAAGCTGCAAAAAATAATTTCAACAGCCCTAAATCATGCAGACCCTATAAAATTCACCATGTAATGAGGTTCTCCGCAATGATTGGACAAAATAATAAAAAGATCTCATCCAACTCAAATTCTTAAAGTTCTGACCATCTTATTTTCTGCAGAATTCAGTTATGCATGAACCCTATTTGATGTGCTAGCAAAAATAAATATAGCGACATGCAGCAGGCGGCCGCCGCAATCATGGGTTTTGAACACATCTGATCAGCACAGCTAGAAAGAATCCAAAAAATTCTCGCCTAAAATTCATGTATTTGTACGCGAGGCGTACGCATACGTGGAAGTTGAAATTGAATTCCCAGAGCAACACACTAACAAGAAGCATCCTTTCAAAATTTCAACTTTCTGTATTTTCGAGTTATCGACAACAAAATTTCCCACCAAAATTTTCATATGTTCGCAGTTGAGATCAATGGATCTCAAAGTTGAATTTAAATTTGTGGAATCGTATATAAGAGAAAAGATCTCAAAATTTCACCTTTTTAACTTTTTTTTTACTAAATTAAAATTTCAGACAAGAACATATGCACAAAGCATTTCGATTTCGACAATACGCGTTTTGCACCGCTGTTGTACAGAAGAATGCACAAAAAGTAAGAACAGTGACCAAGGCTTGAATGCACCAAGCGAGCCGGTGCGATAATGCGTTTTTGCACCAAACTTGAAGTAATTAGGTTATGTGCATGAAAAGTTGTTTCTTCACATCTGCCTTGTGTGTTCAATACGTAAATCATCGTAAATTTTGCATAAAAGGAAATAAACAATTCCCGCTTAGCGGTCGTTATTATGCGTTTTTTGCAGCAATGCAATGCGAAAAACGCATATTGACGAGAGGTTGTCTGTG